TAAATCGGAAGCCCAGATTTGACAGCCATACCCACTATAGATTAGTGTGCTACCATACAAAGGACAAGTTCCTGACCCAAGTCTTAGTTTCCTCCAGTGAAAACGATGTAGTGCTCCCTTCCACCCTGAGCTGCCATGAAGATCAACCATATAGAATCTAGCAATGGCCCACAAAAGGCACCAACGAGCTTTCTCATCATTAGTCCTAGACACTGGAGAGACCCAGAATACAAAAGCTGATATGGTCACCTTTAGGCAGGTCTTTACAACCCAGCCTCAAAGCAAAGCACTGGCACCAAGGCAGGGCAGGAAACAGGATGCCAGGGCCAAATGGGAAATGGAATGTCTGGGTCCTATTGTCAGATGAAACTCAAATATACTCTATCGCTGTGCTGTGGGATGCAGGAGAAAAGGGCAAAAGTGAACTGTGGGTAATGTTGGGCTGAAAATAATGTTTGTTGCCAAGGAAACATGGGGAAGGATTAGTGATGCTAGGTTGCTGATTCAAGAACTCTGAGAAAGCCGGTCCCCAGTTGTACTGAGATGATTGATTACACACAAGCACTGCCAACACACAGGACACCTGTGTGCCCACGTTGTCAACACCACTCACTGTTAACAAGCAGGAGGATGCAAACCACATGGCTTCCAACCACACAGTGTTTGGATGTTTCCTGTGATTTCATCTGCTAAATAAAGTAACCTAGAAAGCTGGCCACTCAAGCTGCTATAAGAGTGGCAGTGGTAGGTACCGCTTCTCTTCGAAAAAGCCAGTTTTAACCAGGAGGCTGTAATCCACCAGCCAGTGAGGATGATTCGGCAGCTCCATCCCAGTGAGGACTACAGGTGCCAGCTAAACTCGGCTGCTTTGGCCCTAGCTGCAGAGCCAGCCACAACCCTTGGAGCTGCAGGGGTTTCTCCTACTCATTTTTAGCAAGGGATATTTATTAAAAGAATTTAAAACTTTTACAAACTTTAAAATATTTTAAATTTAAACAAAAGATCAGATCTTCCTTTACCGTGGCATTTCTAGGTGGAAAGACTCCCTTTCCTTAGAGATAATGCAGAAAAACTACTAAGGAAGTCTTGCCCAGAGACAAAGAATGAAGCCCTAAAGAGTGACTTATATTTGTGGTGAGGCTACGTGTTCAATTTGTTCAAAGTGGTGGATACTTTTGAAATGATTTATTTGTTTTTTTACTATACCTGTGGAGTAGCTCCAACTCTTGTAGTGAACCCAAAGTCTGTCAAAACAGGAACAAGAATAGGAAACCCAAAAACACTGGTTGTGCTTGCCTGGAAACCCAGCAGCTCAAGTGCATCCTTGGGTTACTTAGTAAATCTTCTGAAATGCCAAGCAACTTCACGTTTGGAGGACAGCCAAACTCAGGTGCACAACAAAGTTGGCTCCCCTGTAACACGGTGGTTAAGTCTCACACGACAAAGCTCTGGTCCCTGTTGACAAAGCAGCAGCCTAATGGGATTCCAGACATGGCCTATCAGAAATGGACCCATGCACTTTTCCAGACTGGATTCCACTGTGAAAACCCACATTTATTGCAAAATAAATATGTTAATCCAAGAATAGCACATTCACTTGACATAAATTATTAAATTACAAAGCTGGGTAAACTTTCTCCATGATTCAAGGCATTTGTCTCAAATGAATTTCCAAGCTTTAACAGATATTTGTTTCTAGTGTAGGGCAAGAATTTTTACTTATGGGAACAAAATCCTATTTTAAACAAACACACACACACACACACACACACACACACACACCATGAAATGGAAGCTTTCGAAGACAGGTACAAGCTGAGGATCCAAGGCACAATCATAACAAGCAACCAGCAAATAATGAAGAATTTTGTTCATTTTAGCACTTCTTAGGACCCCCAAGCGAGAACACGTTTACCAGAGTTCATCAGGACAGAGTCCCACCTAAGGAGCTGATATGATTTGGAATTACTGATAGATCAAGACATAACTTATCTGCCTTCTTCTAGCCTGAACTTTCAGGAAGCTCCACTGTCACATTTTATACACTGTAACAGCAACATTTTTACCCTTGTTTCCATTTTCATTGATCTTGTTTTTCTCCCCTTTCAGTTCATATTTTATTTTATTCTATTTTTAAATATTAATTTTTTAGTTGGACACAATACCTTTATTCCATTCATTTATTTTTATGTGGTACTGAGGATAGAACCCAGGGCCCTGAATGTGCTAGGCAAGCACTCTACCGCTGAGCTACAATCCCAGTCCCATCAGTTCATATTTTATTAACATAGTTTTTTATGTCTTTTCTTGGTATGTTGTGTTCAAATTATTTTGGGAATAGGCCACACAGAAAAAACACATTTTAAATCCAAACCAAAAAAGCAGGCAAATATTGCAATCACTTTAGTATACAAAAAAGGGTATCTTTGCTCTCATGGCACAATCAAAAAGCAGTATTTCAGGGGGCTGGGGATGTGGCTCAAGTGGTAGCACACTCGCCTGGCATGCGTGCGGCCCGGGTTCAATCCTCAGCACCACATACAAACAAAGATGTTGTGTCCGCCGACAACTAAAAAATAAATAAATATTAAAAAAATTCTCTCTCTCTTAAAAAAAAAAAAAAGCAGTATTTCAGAATCACCAAAATTAAAATAAAACACATCAGCAGCAGGACTGAATGCACTGATTTCAAAAGGCTTCAACTGCCAGATGTGGTGGTGTACACCTGTAATCCCAGCAGCTTGGGAGGCTAAGGCAGGAGGATTGCAAGTTCAAAGCCAGCCCCAGCAAAAGTGAGGCACTAAGCAACTCAGTGAGACCCTGTCTCTAAATAAAACACAAAATAGGGCTGGGAATGTGGCTCAGTGGCCGAGTGCTCATGAATTCAATCCCTGGTACCCCCTTCCCTCCCCCCAAAAAGCCTTTAATTCCAATATATTCCTTAAATATAATCCTGGCAACTTTCAATAGTCTCACACTAGTGGGAAAAGCCCACACTAGGAGATTAGAGTTGTGTGCTTAGCTATGTGATATGGGTAAGTCAGGAGGATCTGCTCACCTTGGTCTCCTCCTGATCAAGTGAGGGTAGCTACTACTTCCCCTGCACTACAAAACTACTCTGTACTCAGACTTGCTTTTAGAAGTCAAAGTGCAATATAAATGTAAGATAATGATCTCACACACTTTACATGCTAAAGAGATTCTTTCTCATGAGCCTAAGAACTTCTTTAAAACCCATGGCCAAAATATTTCTTTCCAAACTCATAGTTTCTTTGGCAGCAACATGACGTGGGCAGAAAAGCTCTGTAACCACTCGAGATGCAGGCACCAAATAATGAAAGAAAGCATTTATAGACATAAAACATTATTTATACCTGTTTCAATTTTTTTTACATTAAGATATAAACATCCTCTTATCCAAAATATTAGTGAAAAACAAAAACAAATTTAGCCTTTAAAAAGAGCTGGTGTGGAGTTTTCAAGTGTCCTTGCTGAAAGATCCAAATACCAAACGTATATAACTTATCAATTCTATAGAAAGGAGGTAGCTCCTGAACCAAAGAGAGCTACAAAATATCAACACACAGCAGAATCACAATTAACCAGGACGTTCCAACTTCCTGTTTAATTGACCATTTACAAGAAAACTCTTTATTTCAAACATTAGTTTGGAAATCCTTTCTAAATTGAACCACTTTACTTTCTTGGCTCAGTAAGTATAACATGCCAAACATAATTCAATGTTGTTTTGATGATTTAGGATCGTATGATGCCTTGGGGCATCTCTCTCAGAATATACATAATTTCTGTGCAGTCTTGTTAAGAGGCAGCAAACTGGAGTGAATTGGAGTTTCTTGTTTTAAATAAATCCCTGACACAATAAGTTTATTATCATCCTTTATCTCATTCTCCTTAAAGGAGGGGGCGGGCAAAGGTTCTAATTAAGATCTCATAGTTCTAGTCAAATCCACATACACTGGTTCAGGCAAACAAAGCATCCAATGACTTTACCCTCTGGACTATTTTTTCTACCTAATAAATATGCCCAGTAACACAAATTACATGTACTGGGGTCCACTGCTTTGAGGAATGATACGAAATTTCAGTATCCTATGAATTCCTTGTTTGAGAACTTTTCTTTAAAAACAAAGGAAAATTAATCACTCATGGAGTTGACTAATAAAACAGTTGTAGATTTTGCTAATGGAATCAATATGGGCTTCCTATATTAATTCACAATGGCTTGAAAATCTTTCTAATGGTATCAGAAAGTAACTTAAATTCTCCCAGATACTAGATGTTCACCTTCACCCCAAAACAATAAAATAGCAAGAGTTGCTAGGAAAGTACTGATGCTGATTCCGATTCTGATTAGTACCATCCAATATTTCCATAGTGCAGGACCGTACCACTGGTGGCGCACAAAGCAGAATTAAATAATGCTTAATCATAGTGAGCATGTCTTCCCTATACAATTTTCTTTTATCCTCTGATTATTCCACAAAGATAACCTCATTCTGCTGCTGGGTAATCTTTCTCTCTCTCTCTCCCACAAAAAAAAAAAAAAAAAAAAAAAAGGCCTTTAAGATTCAGAAACTTGGCAGGCATTAGTTCTACCTAGAACTGAATAACTTTTTGTGTTAATTTTATTTATCTTGTGGTTACCTTCTATACATGGCAAACTGATACTGGTTTTCATGTGGGGTATGATTCATTGATTTTTAAACTATTTTAAAATTTAAGAGATAAATATTGTATTAATCTAATGAATCATATTTTTAAGAAATGATTTCAAAAGAAATGACAAACATGGTTTAGAAAGGAAACATACGTCACTGTATTTTCAATACTTGTAATGTTCCAGAGATGAGCTCACCACAGCCTTCTCCTACATCAGGTGATTTTCAGAGTTAGGACTCGGGCAAAAATAGAAAAGAACCAATTCCACACCATCCTGGACTTCATAAACTCTTGGTACTATAAATGTGCAAATAATCTGGTATTGAGCACAGTCATTTGTTTTAAAACATACATTTCCCATTTATGCAGCATCTTTTTATTTGGTCTATACTTGTGCCTCACAAAGGCAAGCTTAGGTTGTGGAGTTTCCATTTGGTCCTCAGAGCAAGTCCCATGCCTATGTTTTGACGGAACTCTCTGGCGAGGATCAGGACTATAGCCCAGGTCTTCCAGTGGCATCTGACTGCTTTTTCCACTCTTACAGCCCTGAGGAGACAAGTCTCCTCTTCATGGTAACATCACTCCCAATCTTCTGAGAGTTTTCCTGGCAGGTCTTGCATGCTCACAAGCATGCCATGCTGATTTTCAAAAAAAAAAAAAAAAAAAAAGTAGGAGAAAAAGAAAGCAAAGCTTCCCATTTGTGGTGACTAATTTCTTCATCACAGTGGCAGTTAAGAAATGTCCTCTCCTTTCTCCCTGAAGCCAAAGCAATACTTCTGATAGGTGGTGTCAGACATCATAATCAGGAGCCTTGCCCTGGGCTTGCCTCAGCCAGATCTGCAGTGTCACAAAGGCTCCCACGGTCACATGGAAGAAAAGCTGCCAGAGGTTGCGCAGTTCATAGAGATACATATTGCATAGACAGATTAAACCAAGAGTCAAAAAAGACTTGACATTCCGCCAGCCGGTGTAGTAGACAAGTAAATAACACTGTTCAAAATATAAAAATGAAAGATGATTAGGGCTACAAGAAAAGAAATCCATGTTTCTAATATAAGTCTGTAATGGATCAGAGAGTAAAATATGAGAACAGAATATGGGTATTTTTCATTGAAGGATAAGATAATGTAATGTAGCTAAGATATTCAGCTATGAAAGTTTCACAGCTTGAAAGAGAAATAGATTTTTCCTTTTATGTCTTTCATTTTTCAAAAGAAACACATTTTGTCTCATATTTTAAATGAAAGCACAATTGAATGATTCCCTTGCAAACAGGCTGGGCAAATTTCCCAAGGTGATAGGTAACCAACATGCATCCCCAAGGCCTCAAGGGGTTCCATTCTCATTCTGAAAAATACAAAAAGCTCACACAAGCCATTCAGTAAAATGCATTCTTCAATAACCTGAATCTGAGTGTTAATGAAATCAACCAATTTTACTGGTTCCCCATTGAGTGCAAGGAATTATGCCAGGTACGGGATCTGGGCGATCATCTGAGGGAGGACTCATTCAAAGGATATAACTGAAGGCCTGCTACAAGCCAGGCATTGCTCTTCAGTTGTGAGTAAACCAAAGAAAGCCCTTGCTCACACAGAGCTTGCATTTTAGTGGGGGAGGATTTTATATATATTTTTGATATATGGTACCAAATAATTACATGTTGAAAAAGATAAAATGATAAAGTAGAAAAAGGGATAGAGAATGACAATGAGTGCTGTTTACATGAGACAGTAAAGAAAGTCCCCCATGCCCCCTACCAATCAGGCATTCCCACAACATACTAAGAACACACTTGAAAAAATGCTTATTTTGCTTGTCATCTATGGCCTTCCAATAAAATCTAAGTTTTGTGAGAGGGAAAATTTTAACTGCTTTGTTCACTCCAGGGGCCAGAACAGCACCTAGCATGTCATAAGCACTCAATATATTATCTGTTGACTGAATGAACTATTTTCTAGAAGATGTCTAAAATTCACAACCTGGAAAATATAGAAATTATATATGATCACAGAGTTTTAAGGAAAGGTCTCTGTGAAACTGTATCCAGGATTTTATCTAAATTATTTTTATTGTGGAACAGAAGGCTGAAATTTTTTTTCTTTAGAATAATTTTAGAATTAGGGAAAAATTACAGAAATAGTAGAGAGTTCCTATACATTCTTCACCCTACTCCCCCTAATGTTACTTTGTTATATAACTTTACTCAAACAAGGACAGCGGTTTGACTCAATACTATTAACTAACCTCTGGGCTGTATTCAAATTTTGCCAGTTGTCTCATTAGGGACCATTTTCTGGTCCCAAATCTAGGATTCTGTATTGCACTTAGCTGTCATGTGTACTCCAATTTATAACAGCTCCTCAGTCTGTTTGTCATGACCTTGGCAGTCTTTTTAGAGTATTAATCAGTTATATTGTAGAATGTTCCTTAGTTTGGGTGTGCCCAGTGTTTTCTCAAGATTTAACTGAGGATATGCATTTTGGGCAAAATACCACACAGGTTATAGGTAATGTCTTCTTACTGGTAATGTCAATTTTGATTACTTGATAAAGTGGTTTCTCTACAGTGAAGTCACTACTATTCCTTTTGTAATTAGTATCTTCTGGGGTTGGAGTATTTTGGGATTATGTAAATATTTCATCTCATCATACTTTTATCTACTAATTTTAGTAATCATTGATATCCTTGCCTGCAACAGCTATCAGGGTGGTGTTTGTCTAACGGTAATTCTATATTTCCATCATTCTTTCTACTTTTATTAACTAGAATTATACTATAAAGAGCTGTTCTGGGGCTGGGATTGTGGCTCAGCAGTAGAGCGCTCGCCTAGCACGTGCAAGGCCCTGGGTTTGATCCTCAGCACCACATAAAAATAAATAAAATAAAGGTCCAACTATAATTTAAAAAATAAATATTTTTTAACAAAAGAGCTGTTCTGGTATTTAAATTAATATTTAATTCACGGTTTTAAAAGACTATTTTTTTTTAAACTAATGGTCTCTACCCATAGAAGAACATGATGCCTTGTAATGCAGAGATCTGGAAGACCCCACCTTAATCAAATAATCAAAATTAATATATGTTTCCTAACTGATGCAATGAGGGATATACCTGAATCTAATGGTAAGAAACAGACCAAGCTAGATTGTGGGCCATTCTCTAGGATACCTGCCTACATCCTTAAGAAATGTCCATGTATGAAAGATTAAAACAAAACTGAACAGAACAAAAACAAAAAGGCCAGCAACCAAACAATGCATGATCCTTGACTGAGGGAAAAGAATAATAAAGAGTGTTCTGGAATAACTGAAATAATCTGAATAGGGATCTTATATTAAGATTATATAGTATCAACATTAAATTTCTTATGTATGACATGGTGTCATGGCTATATAGAAGGATGTCTACATTTTTAAAAGATACATGCTAAAGAATTTAGAGGTGAAATATTGTGTATGTAACTTATTGTAAAACAATTGTACAGAGATTTCTGTTTCTGGGAAGATGAAATAGACCCTTTTCCCTACTCCTCCTCCTAAGCACAACTAAAAACCCTGTATCTTATAAATAAAACATGCATGAGAAGATTCTGAATGGTGACAAGCTAAGAATCCTGAAGCTCAAGGAATGATACAGAAGTAATTTCCCTGAGTTTCCTTTCTGCTTCATGCCTTCCATACTTGGAGGCTGAAGGTGGCAACTAGAAACCAGATACAGTCTAAACAAACAAAACAACCTCAATAAGATTTGAGGGCAGGGTCCTAGCGACTGAACCCAGGAACTTATGCATGCCAGGCCAAGCATACTATCTATAGTCCCAACCCTCAATAATATCTTGATCTTTCTAGCAAAAACTTAGGAAAGGGGTACCTTAGTAAGATAGAAAGTGTTTAGATAGTAACTATTATACTCTAGCCAAACACTGCACATGCACAAAAGCCTATTGCCCATCCACATCCACATCATCAAAGGCTGCATGGCAGGGCTAGAAAGAGAGTTCCAACCCCCAGCATGTCGTCACAGAAGACAGGTAGACAGCCAGACCTTCATTCCCTTGGGATGATAGGGAGCTCCTCCTCACCCTCTCTCAGCAATGTCAGTGGAGACCACACTTGTCAGCAATAAGGCAATGGCTCTCACCATTAACAGGAGAGGATAAAGGGCATGTGGAGGAGACAAGGTGTCTGTATTTCATTAGAACTGGTAAAATAATGATATCAGAAGACAGTGATAAGTATCTGTGATGTGATGCTAGAGCAACTGCTTTAAAAGCTACAAAAAGAGAACTTCAAAATACTATAAATAAATATAGAATTCTGAAAAAAACAAGTTCAAGGGCTGGGGTTGTAGCTCAGTGGTAGAGCGCTTGCCGAGCATGCGTGAAGCACTGGGATCGATCCCTGGCACCACACAGAAATAAACAAATAAAATAAAGGTATTGTGTCTATCTACAACTAAAAAATATTTAAAAAACAAAAACAACAACTTCAAGTAACCCACAGAAAAATAGGAAAAAGAAATTTGAAAAATTAAAATCAACATATCCATAATAATTTTAAATGCTTAAATACAGCAGTTAAAAGACAGATTGGCAAGATTTCTCTCTAAAAAAAGTTGTATCAAATGATAGAGGCAAGGTGAAAGTAAAAGGAAGGAAAAGGATATATCACACAAACATTCAAAAGAAGGAGAGTGGCTGCTATATTACTATGTCTATACCAAAATATTTCAAACAAAGGAAATTACCAGAGACAGAGAGGGGCATTACATAATGATAAATGGGTCAATCAGCTAAGAAAACACAGCAATTCTAAATGTGTATAAGCCAAACAACCTAGCTGCAAAATATGTGAAGCAAAAATAGAACTGAAATGAGAAAGAAAAATCCACAATTCAACACTCCATTCTCTCAAGAAGAGCAGAAATCAATAAAATTGAAAATAGAAAAATGATAGGGAAGAAAATCAATAAAATTAATAACTGTTTTTTTTAAAGATCACTGAAAATGAAACTGACAAATAAGACTGACAAAGGAGGAGACGATACAATTGCCAGTATCACTAGGGATTCTGCAGACAGCAATAGGATAGAACCAACTCTATAATCTAAATTTGCTAACTTAGATGAAATGAACCACTTGCTCAGAAACTACAAACTACCATAATTCACCCAATATGAAACATATAATCTGAATAGCTCGATACTATTGAGAAAACTGAATTTCAGAATTAAGTCATCATGTTATGTGGCTATGGTGAAGAGATAAATACACAGACTAATGGAACATAATTCTGAACTCAGAAATAGTCCCACACATATGCCCAACCTAATTTACAAATGGACAAAAGCAATTCAATGGAGAAAAAACTGGCTTCTTTAATAAATGTTGCTGGAGCAAATGACCATCTCAGGTTAAAAAAAAAAAAAGGAACTTGGACCTGAGTTGCACATCTCATACAAAAATTAATGCACATTCATCTTGAACTTAAATATAAATGTAAAAACCATAAAAATTTTTTTGGAAAAAAACACACACAAGGGCTGGGGTTGTGGCTCACTGGAAGAGCACTTGTCTTGCATGTATATGAAGCCCTGGGTTCAATCCTCAGCACCACAGAAAAATAAATAAATTAAATAAAGGTATTGTGTGCATCTACAACTAAAAAAAAAAAAAAATTTGTAAAAAAAAAAACAAACAGACTCAAAAACTTCAGGATCTGAGGCAGGTAGGTTCTTAGATTTGACACTACAAGCACAATCCATGAAAGGAAAAATGGACCAAATGACCTTTATCAAAATTAAAAATTTTTATTTTAGGAAAGACCCTAAGAGGATGAAAAGACAGGCTACAGAATAAGAAAAGATAACTGCAAACTACATATCTGACAAAGGACTACTTCTAGAATAAAGAACTATTTTAAAAATTAAAAATGCACACATATACACACAACAATTAGAAAACAGGCAAAAGACATGAACAAACATTTCAC